TTGTATTGTTTAAAAAACTCATTGAATTCATTCAAAAATAACAATAACGATGCATGTGATATTAAAAACAGGTTTAAACAAGAGATAGGTTCCAAATGTACTTGTCAAACGAAATTTGCCATGTAGTTGCCAGTTGACTACCATCTTTTCGGTTCAGGCTGTTCTTGTTCGCCCATATATGCAGCGCTTCTGCTGTCAATCTTTCTTTATGGGTGTTAAAACCTTTCTGAAGTATTTTGGTCCCTTCGAAATTAATCTTGTGCCCTGTTTCTAACGCATGTAACGCTATCGCTGACTTATTTTCAAGTTTCTTTAGATCAACCGAGGATTTGGGAACATTTTTCAAGCATTGTTTGTGTTCCTTCAATCTTACATTCAGTTGCCTGGATGTTTCTCCAACATAGGTAGCATTACAATCATGACAGAGAATCTCATACACAATGTTCTGTTGTTCTTCCTTTGCTAATTTGTCCTTAACTTTCACTAATGTCGATCTTAATGTGTTATTCGCTCTAAAATACACTCTTATATCATGTTTGTTTAGAATCCGTTTGATCTCTTCCGATGTTTCACTACGGTAAGGTATGACTACGGTGTATTTCCATTCTTTTCGTATACTTTCTAGTTTAGGTTTTCTTTCATTTTTAATAATCTTTTTTAAAAACCTTTTTGGGTAGTTGTTATCCCTAAGAGTAGAAAATACTTTATTTAATTCGGTTCTTTGGTCTTCCTTGTCTGTAACAATCTTAGCACTTCTGTTCATTAGATTTTTCACTACATTAATTTTCGTGCTCTGTGAATGGGCTGAATTAAAATCCAAGTATCTCTCGGAATGTGTTGATTTTCTGTAAGCATTTATTTTTAACTTCTTATTATTGTGTCGACGTTCAACCAAACAATCTAGAAATGCCAGTTTGTGGTCAAATGATTCTAATTCCTTAGTTAGTTTAATGTTTTCAGAAATGCTGTTTGGATTGTTAAATAGTTCTTCCATACCATCCCGTTTATTGACATGTACATCGATGTTTCATTATCAAAAAATTTTTCCACCTTGAACTTGATTTATTTATTTATTCCTTCATATCAATCTCTTACACATACATACATACCTGCACACTCACGCACATACGATTTGTTACTCAGTTAATTAGAACACATATGAGCGAACAATTGTTTTCAATTAGATCGTCATCAGGCTTTACTCTAATATACATGAATATTTATACGAAAATTTTAAACCAATCAAGGCAATATGAGATTTACGATTCAATTAAGCCGACTGGATCATTTACACCACGCTTGTATGGTTTGCCTAAAGTACATAAATCGGGTCTTCCTCTACGCCCAGTTCTAGATATGTACAATTCTCCTTACCACAAAATCGCAAAGTGGCTAGTACGAACCCTAGAACCTTTACACAAATCAGTTGTTAGAAATAGTGTAAAAGATGTCTTCAACTTCATCTCCAAAGTAGAAAATATTAATGTCAGCATGAAAAATATGATCTCATTGGATGTAGAATCTTTGTTCACCAACGTACCACTTATAGAGACTATTGATTTTATATGCAAGCAAATATCAAAGAAACAAATCAACATTGGCCTGCCTAACGATAGCCTAAGGGAACTGCTCCTAAGATGCACTCTGAATGTACATTTTGTCTTCAACAATACTTACTATAGACAAATAGACGGGATAGCCATGGGCTCGCCTCTAGGCCCGATTTTAGCTGACCTCTTCCTAGCAAAGCTAGAAAACGGACCTCTCAATGAGACTATTAAGAAACTCGATTTATATTGCCGATACATTGACGACACATTCATTATCGTAGACCAAAACACTAGTAAAGAGGAACTCCTAGACCAATTCAACAGTGTTCACCCAGCGATCACCTTCACTGGTGAAAGCGAGCATGATAAGAAGATGAGCTTCCTTGACGTCACGCTAAGCAGACGAAGTGACGGCACATTAAGTAGAAGCGTGTATAGAAGAAACCCCTCTTCATGCCAATATACTCACTTCTGCAGTTTCACACCCATCCGGTACAAGAGAAATTTGGTCAGATGTCTCACGAGCAGAGCAAAAAAGATCTGTACAGTAGACACTCTAAGTCAGGAGCTTGAATTTCTCAACAACTCACTGACCGAGATCGGCTACCCCAGCGCGTTCATCAAGAAATACATGCAGGATATAATAAAGAAGTCGGAGATTTCGACTGTTCGTAAGAAACCTTTATACATGAAAGTGCAATTCAACGGGGATGTGGCTAGTGACACTCTGAAATATAGGTTAACCAGAGTAATCACCAAGACATTCTACGCAGCCAATCTTGTGTTGACCTTCTCTTGTCGACCAGCGATGTCTACTCAAACGAAGGATAAGTTACCTGAGTTGGCCTCTTCCATGTGCATTTACAAATTCAGCTGCTCCTGTGGAGATAGCTATATAGGGCGTACTACCAGGCAACTTAACCAACGAATGAGTGAACATCTACCAACTTGGTACATAAAGGGTCAGAGAAAAACTATTCGCAGTTCTATACTAGCACATCTTATTGATAGCGGTCATGCAGTAGAGAAATCGAAATCATTTCGAGTTATCTATCGTATACCTCCATCATTTCCCGACGGAGTCCGTTCCCGTCTCCTATATATAGTTGAAGCCATTGGAATTCGTACATATAACCCCAATCTATGTGTACAGAAGAAATACGTGACTCCCCTATCCCTTCCATGGCCAGTTATAACTTAACTAACAATTTTTTTTTAAATTTTTTTACAAATTTTATTATTATCATTATTTATTTTATTCTATCTGTGTTATTGTTAACCTTATTTCCACATCCATTATTTGTTTGTCATTATCCGCCTCTTTGTATTCTTCACTATCTAATTATTTACACACATCTTATTACGTAATGATTTTTAAGGTTTTGTGATTACTATTCCTAGTCTATTTACCCATGTTTATTTGACCTTCTATTTCCAACGATTAACTATTGATAAGAGTTTTGTTATTGTAGTTTATTATTCTTACCACTATCTGTTCACCTGTCTTCGTACTATCAACTTGTACTTTTACCTATTTTATGTGTAGTGACTTATTCTATTTCATTGTGATTATTGACTCATATTGCCTTGATTGGTTTAAAATTTTCGTATAAATATTCATGTATATTAGAGTAAAGCCTGATGACGATCTAATTGAAAACAATTGTTCGCTTATATGTGTTGTTCTAATTTTCACAATGGGAATCTTTAATACTCAGTTAATTATTTCTATGTAGTTGAATTCTTCACATGATTTGTAGTTAACTGACTCATTTGATCCTATTTTACAAAAAATCAACATCCAAATATGATTGGTTTAACACAGTATAATCCTGATTGTTAAAAAGCTATATATGTCTTTGATAATTTTGATTTTGATTATTACCCTGAAGAAGTCCAGACAAGTTAGCTGGACGAAACGTTGGAATTAGTTAGATTTCAATCGCTGAGAATATTTCAAATATAATTTTCACATATAATGACTTCTCTATACTCGGCGCTCAATTACTGTCAAACTATTCGTTCTAATCTTGACGAATATTCGTATAAAACTAATTACGTCCGCTAATTGCGTTCACTTAGGCAACTTTATAAAATATTTACCTGTCACAAATCTAATTACGGAGACAATTAAAAGTACCACCATAGTGCTTCTAGTGCCGTCCTCTCCTAGTATCTGTTGGAGAAACAAGTATTTATTACATCGTAACCATAAATCAAATACAATACTCTAAGCAAGACGGATAGCAGTGGAGTTTAGGATGTGCGTTCCCTCCTACTTAGGTCCAACAGCCGGATATACCCGCATCCCGGAGTGAATACCAACTAGACACTATCCATCTCTGTTTAAAATCATTGTGACTTAATAGGAACATCGAGATAATCCACACAGGATGCATGTATGTTAATTACAGTCCTAAACATTAATGAGAGGCTTCGAACAACTAATTCAAATGAATTAAACGAATTGTGATTCAAACAAATGTCTTAGGAGCGAGATTGGTTAGGAGCATTTGGGAACAGATATGAACGGGAGTTGAATGCCATTTAGAACCTTGAATATTAACAAGTTGAATACTTATAAAACAGGGCCTTCGTCACAGCACTGCATATTTAATACTGAAAATTCTTTGCTGCAACCAAGCATATGACACTCAATGAGACAATTATTAATAGTCGGGAAAACCAACCGAATTACATCGTACCAATTAATCACAATTGGCCAGCCCATACATCAGTACCATCGACTAGTGTCATCTCAAAAATTTATTGATCGCATATAAGTTTGCGTTAGCCACCTGTCAAGAACTATCCAATATGCAACCCAGAAATCTAGACATAATTATTAATTCCAGTTTATTCTATTAATATGAGTTGTACAAACTTAGATCTCTTATTTTTCATACCTAACTGTTCTTAACAAGTATATAGGTGGTCAGGTTGTTCGAAAAGCATTATGCTAATATATTACATCTCATAGTTCCGATAAACTTAGTCCTACCAGTGTATGGTGCTTTCATATTTACTGAAAAAGTTATCAAACATTCTTAAAAACTGAGACGATCTAGCTCACTAACAAATACTGCAAAATAATTGAGGTCATATGGATTTGGATATCTTTTTCTATGATTCCTTGATAGCCTACCTAGTTCAGTGAACAAAAACCGAGTAGGCATTAGAAAGTCTGGTAGCAAAAAAGAATGAACATTTCGTTCTGTGTGCAGACTTTCAAAAGACTTGACAGGTTTAGGATTAATATCATAGATACTTTTATAAGTTCTTCTACAAATAACAACCACTTAGTGTAATTTATGCATTTATATATATAGCATTAATACCAGTATTATTATTAACAACGGTCATAGTATAATGGTCTTCAGATAGTACCTAAATGAGTTCATACATATTATCAAATTATTTTACACATGAACTTAAAAACAAAGTGCTGACAGGCTCATTTTTTATTCAAATGAAAAAAGACAAACAACTTTATGATGAGTATGTTGAAAGTTTGTACTCCTTTTTAAAAATTAATAGTAACATTATTACAATAAAACATGAGTTTTGTGTACGAAAAAGAACTAGACAACAGTTAAGATAACGTGTGCTTATATATATATATATATATATATATATATATATATATATATATATATATATGCCTATGTACAGAACAGTTTTAACCCATTAGGTATAGTTGTCTATTATCAATGGTGATGATGGTGCCTCCGTTCTTTTGAATGAGAATCTTTATGTTTTTTTGAATGTGATCTATGCTTGGTTGATCTGTGCTCCTGCTGTGGTTCCTGTTCATGATATTGTTTATGACGACTTCGTTCATCATTTGCGTGATGATATGTCATAGAACTTGAAGTGAAATTAAGTTCGCCAACATCGTTACTACCGCCATCATTATCATCATCATCAGATAGTGAATGTTTTCTTTTCTTAACTGATTTCTTTTTCTTCTTCTCCTTTTTCTTCTTCTTATGTTGTTGTTTCAAGTTATCTTTGGAATGACTACTAATACTACTACTGACTTCACCATCATCATCTGAACTATCCAATGTTCTAAAAAGCATTTTAGAAATATATATGGATAAATATTTCATGAAATATTATTTACAATAGCGTTTTATACAAAATTAACAGTTATGACTAGTAACTTAATGTTATGAAACTCATTTATCAACTAAGTAAAAGTTAATGTATTCATTGTTGGAAAAAGGCTATTTGTCTGTGTGATGACAACAGTTATCTGGTTGCCCAGAATGAATTAGGTGGTCGGAGTTTCAACTTGAGACCTACTGGTTAAAGTTTAATTCTTTTAGCCTCTAAGCAACAAACATAATAATTCTTAATAATTATTAAAATAGCAAGAGAAATTGTAACTGGGTCTCGCAAACAAAAACTGTTAATTTTATACAAAACTGGTAGTTTTACAGAAGCAATAACTTTAGCCTTCCAGTCAGATTCAAAAATCTACTATTTGTATAAGGAACTAACTTATTCATGAGATTTGGCAATTTTCATTATATCAATGCCCCAATTAGACGGCACGAAAACTGATCAGTTAAGTCAATAATTGGTATTTTATTAGTTACTGGATACACTTCAGACACTAAATATTGATAAGGTTTCATAATTCATTTTAATTCGAAACGCAACTACTCATAACAAGTTTCTTATCGATTAATCTTACATTTAGTTAAATTACTAGAATTATGTTTAAAAATGGTTGTCTGTAGTAAATATATCATATGTGATCTTTATTAACGTATATATTAACTGTTGTTCAAATAACGAGTGGATTTCGAACCGACGTTTACGCTACACCTTATACTAAATATCTAACATGAACGAAATGAAAAATATATATATTAATGTAATTAAATTCGCACATTCCAAATGTAGTATTCTTAGTGAGGTTTTAAAAGTGTTTCCTGGCAGCAAATTTTAAAAATTATTAGGTTTTACATTCGTCTAATGAGGAATCCGTAGTTAAGGTACATGGTTTTCAACTAGTACATCGTATATTCTATCACCACTTTGACTAATTCGCTCTCGTCAAATAGATAATATAATTGGCCCCCTCATGAAAACATGATAACTCAAAGCTGAGTATAGAAACATATACGTGGTAAATAACAGTCATTAGTAATTTTAGGTCGGAGTATTTTTACAAAATTCAAGGCCGACTTGTTTTCTTCTGACTGACTGATTGGTCTAAGACAGAATATTTCTAATCCAGTCAAAAATAAGTATTTTTAATAGTTGGGATCATGAGTCAATTGAAGCTAGACTACAATGGAAAATGTGAGCACACGAACATATATGTGGTCGCTGAGTTACATTAACATCCACATAAATGTTGGTTATTTTATATGGAAGTTACAACTGATAGCTTTTATATATCTAAATCAATAACTTTGAAATATTATGTAAAATTATCATTTTTAGAAAATCATTGGAGGAATAAAAGAATAAAGGACCTAACGACATGAATACTCTAGCAGTGTGGCACATTAGTCACAGTGAGAAAAAAATATCAAGACGACTACAACCAATGTTAAGTGACTGAAGTCTCAATCAAACATCACTTGCACTGATTATTTGCATTTCGATATTTAATAAGATGTAAAATGATTCTAAAATTTAATTACTAAGCCCATTGCCTATATAAGAAACTAATACAACTTCTAAAATGATACACTAGATATAACCACTAGTCTTTTTACAAAAAATTTAACATTTTTTACTTAACTATTTATTTTTAACTTTTGTTAGTTTGATTATTGTTAATACGTTCCAAAATATGATTCAGAAAAGTAATGGTTTATTGATTTGAGGAGCTAACTTTTAACAATTGTCATAGATTCGAATGGTGTGTTGACTCACAGTAGTTTTAATATCCCCTGCGTAAGAGATGTGGCTTATAGCTTCTATTAAGCAACAATACATTAGAGATCATCATACTCGCCTTGTGTATTTTCAGAAATATGCAGTTAATTATATTCCAAGTAACCACATTTCAGACAACAAACACCAAACAGTTAAGGAAATGGCGTATTATTTCCTTATTAAAGATGAAGCAGACATGGGTATATACCAGATAAAAAGCAAAACACTTTAGGAAGTCAAGTGAATCCAGATGGTATAAACATAAACTACTTCGGTTAATGTTTCTCTGGCTACTGTTTTAAGAAGAAATCTCATACTTTGAACTTACAGTGACACTGCCTTCAATGTGATTCCAAAATGATAAGATATCAAGTAAGTATAACTAACTGTCGCTTGGTTGTTTCTTCGTGTACTGAAGCGCGAAACTTAAATCCCAATATTGAAATGACTGTTTCACATTTGTAAATAGCCTAGAACATAATCGTGGTTTAAAAGTTAATAATTGGACTACTGAGTAAGTGATGTACAAGAGAACATTAATTTCACTTGGAATTCTCTTATTTGTTAATCAGAGATAAGAAATATCCAGAATTTAAAGTGCATAATTGGAAAGCGAGATTCGTGTAAACAAATTGCTAGGCATGTTAATTTTGTCAAAAACTATTGTTATTAGTGGAAAAATAAGGATACAACTGTGGTGGGATGGTTTATTGTCCGGTCTTTTAATGTTCTTGGTCAGGGTCTGTAGATGAATGTAAGAAGTCAATAGATTCCATTTGATTAGTGGCTATTGCCCGGTTATATCTTATTACTAAGCACAATCAATCGATCAACACTGGATATGCAATAAAAAAATCCACGAGAAAGATTTCATGGTCATTCTGTTATCTAAGTTTGCACTATGAACTCCATATACCTTCAAATGATGCATTGTAAATTATAGTACTAGCATTAGCTTACATACCTAATGAACTTGATTGAAGAATGGAACAACTTCTTGAAACTTAAGAGGTTTAAGACAAGTTCAGAACTAGTATTTCATTTGAATGACACACTATGAATACATAGCTAGTTTCCCTCAAAGTAGCATAAATCATCTCCAATCAATCAGCATGAGGACTGTTTATATGAATATTTACTTAACTGTGTTATTCATTCCGAAGCGACATCGTGGTTTATTTAATGGATTACGATTTATGTTGAGATTATTTATAACTTAATTTCTGAAATACTTAATTACTCATGATGTTATAAGTGTTCCTACATGATAAAGTATCCTAGTAGTGATTTATTTTGAATCCTGAAATAAATAATGTGATTAGTGGGTTAATCGGTTGGTTGCAACGTAGAACCTGGTACGTATGTACATAGATTCAAGTTGCCACACCTCATTAGCACAGAGATAAGATTGTCAGACGTGATGGTTCGGTATGACCCAAATGTGGCACACGCGCAGTAGGTGAAGCTTGATGATAGACAGTGTAAGGTTAGAAGTTAGTAATTACTGTATGCGTTGTAACTATTATATCACTGTTAGTTTCATCGATTTGTTATTCTCTACAAATTCACAAAACAATAATTAATAGTCTATAATTTAGCCCTGTGGTTTGCTGGTTAAAACTCGTGACTTTCAACTCCCGAGTCATATTTGGAACTTTGTCAACATACTATGTAGTGGACAGTCATTTAACATCACTTGCTAGTAGAAAAAGAGTGAGTCAAAGACCAGTACATGAGTTTGCACTTGCTTACTAAGTTAGATCAGTTACCAATGTGTAAGACTAGTTTAAAAAACTGAATACAGGAAAAATAAAAAGCCTCATCGTTTATAAAAGATAAAATTTAATTTCGGCCGCTATGGAAATGCATCGTCCACTTAGTCTCCTGGACTTCCAGGAAGTTAATTTTTCAACTCCCTTTTCTCTTTATTATTATTATTTCAACACAAATATTGGTACAGAAAGGCACCAAATATATATGCACCACACCATATTTGTGTTTGTGTGGGCTGTGATACTGCCTGGGTGCCCAGACATAAGCAGGTGGTTTTCTTAGGAGGCCACATCCCGAGCCTTTGACCTAAAGGTCTAACCCACAAGGCAGTGGAGCATCATGAGGAGATGCAGTCCCATGATAGCCGGTGACCAATGATTGGTTCATACGCCATTTGTTCCCTTAGGATACTGGAGCCCATAAGCACCATTGGTTTGGGATCCAGTTAAAGTGCCGGACATTCGCTTTTCGTCCTCTCATTTTCGTAAACGACACCCCCGCCACGAGAACGTAGTGAGTAGGACTTCCCTGACAGAGGCTGTATACGCGTGGCCATGTGAGAGCATTTCGAGAGGTAAGGTGGGTCCACCCCACTCTCAGGGCCATACCAGGGCATTCTCTAGTCTATTGCTATTAGAATTGCCTTTATTTTGTCGCTCATTCTGACGGTTGTATTGTTAGTGGAGTATAAAACACTTGGAATTGTGTGCTTTCCTTCCAGTATGCAATGTTATCATTTCGTTTTATGGGATATCTACATACAAACTGAATACTCAGCAGCCCTACAGTAGTCATTCTTCTGTAACCAGCTAGCTGTTAACTGATAAATTAAGTTTATGTCGTGAAACCAATAAACACCCTTAAAGTAACTCATTTAAAAAGCGGGTCCATGTAATTTGGTTTAATTCACAGTGTAGTTATATGCAGACTAATCACTACTCGAATGTCAGAACCGAAGTACGTGGAGTGGAGTTTAAAATCAAGATCTAAAAGTGTATTGACTACAGTTGTTACTGCAATAAATATCCTAAACAGAACAACTTCGTCCCCTTCAGAGATATTTCCAGATCTGTTACATATTTCACTTGTCATGTGTGATTTTTTCAGGTTTTCCTAATTTCATAATAGCTTTAGGTAGTGACTAGCTAGGTAATGTCCCTTAACCTGGATCAATTTAAATTCATATTACACATGTCCGAATCTTTGTCAGCCCTAATTATTTACAGTGATAAATAGGACTCATGAACTTCAGAGTTAATAAAAGTCCTAAGACCGTGACTGAAACACGTCGTACATTTAATTTATGGTTGATTTAACACACCATAAATGCATTTCTTTGAATAAGAATTACTCCACTTGTAGCTCTTCTAGGGCTATTGCCGGTCTCAAGCTCGGGTAAAAGAGGTTCGAGTAGCCCTAAACGCCCTGATACGGTCGAGGGTGGGGACAGTCAGCTCTCCCTCTTAAAATGCTCTCACATGGCCACGTACATACAGCCACTGTCAGTGAAGTCCTACTCACTGCTTTCTCGCGGTAAGGGTATTGTTTACGAAATTGAGAGGAAGAAAGGCGAATGTACGGCGCTTTAACCGGGTTGGTGGATATGAAGGATCCACCTAGGGGAGCTGTAAAACCTTGATTCCAAACCAATGGTGCACATGGGCTCCAGGATCCTGAGGAAAAAATGGCGTATGATCTTTTCGTTGGTCACCCGATACCGTGGGACTGCATCTCCTCACGTTAGTCCACTGCCTTGTGGATCAGATCTTTAGGTCGAAGGCTCCGGGCGTAACGTCCTAAACAAACCACCTGCTTCGATCTGGGCACCCGGGCAGTATCACAGTCCACACACAAGTCAAGTGACTTGTGTAGTGCATATATAATCGGTGTCCCTTCGTACCAATATTTCTGTGTTTAAATAGGGTCGAGTGCAAAGTCAGTAACCCGACTCCGTAGAAAACAACCATGCTAAAACACGCTAACCAGAATAAATAATTTAAACCATTTAGACTGTCGCCTCTGAGTTGAAGGACCTTCATTTGGAATAATTATGACGCCTCATGATTAAAGCCGATATTCTTCGGAAGTCATGAGACCGATACCCGTTCTAACAATCAGAAAAACGACAATAAATATGGATACATGGAATGTTCGGACAGTGTGGGAGACCGGAACAACCAACTAAATAGCTGCGGAAATGAGGAGATACAACTTAGAGTTTCTAGGAATAAGTAGAACCCATTGAATCTAAGCTGGATAGAGAAGGATAGATACGGCAGAGATGCTGCGTTACTCCAGTCACGAAGAGGAAAATGCTCCACACATTCAGGGAGAAGCTCTGATACTGTCCAAAGAAGCACATTACGCACTTATACGATGGGAATCTCACGGACCCAGGATCGTCAAAGCATCCTTCAAAACAAAGAAGGGGGGAATTACAATGAATGTTATCCAATGTTGTGCAACAACCAGTGATAACAATGACGACGATAAAGATCAGTTCCACGAGAAGCTGAAATCGATCATGGCGAAATGCCCAGGAAAGAACCAGACCATCCTGGTGGGAGATTTAAACGCTTAAGTCGTAATGCACAACACCGGATATGAAGATATCATGAGACCACATGGATTGACTGGGAGAAACGAACGAGAATGGTGAGAGACTTGCAAATGTACGTGCACTCAACAAACTGGTTACAGGCAGCACAATATTACCGCACAAACGCATACACAAAGTTACATGGGTATCACCAGATCACTACACAGGACCAGATCGACCATATTTGCATCACCAGAAAATTCAGGTCAATGGAGGAAATGAGAACCTGGATAGGAGCTGACAGCTTTAGATCACCACCAACTGATGGTTGCCAAGATGAAACTGAAGCTAAACAAACACTGGACAACTGGGAAAACAGTATTACAAAGATTCAGTAGATACTTCCTTCCAGATACTGACAAACTCAACCAACTCAAGATAACTCTCAACAACAGGTTCCAAGCATTACAAGATCTACTCAAAGAAGAAGAAACTATGATGGACGACAATTGGAAATGGATCAAAGAAGCAAATTTCGGGAGGTTGTGGGTCGCAACAAGCATCATCATCTATGGGAGCCTTGGACAAAATTGAAGAAAGGAAGAACGAGAAGACAGTAATTAACAACAGCCGAACAAGAACAGAAGAAGTCAAGGAACAAACTGAATGCACTGAATTAAACAAGCAAGTGAAGAAGAGCATTACTGTCCTCTAATGGCGGTATCATTACGTCATAGATTAATAGGACGCAGGTCAAGTACAAGTTATAACACCGGTCAAGGAGAAATAAGGCAAAACAATCACTGAAGTTCACGAACAAAGGAACATATGGGGAGAACACTTTGAGGAACTCTTCAAAAGGTCAGCTCCGTGCAATCCACCGCACATCAAAGCATCACATACAGACCTTCCTACTGATTGCACTCCACCAACAACGGAAGAAATAAGGATGGTCATCAGACAAATCAAGAGTGGGAAACCAGTTGGACCCGAAAACATACCAGCTAAAACACTCAGGTCATATATAGAAGTAACTGAAAACACGCTTCACGTTCCGTTCAGGAAGGTTTGTGAGGAAGAACAAGTATCGACAGACTGAAAAGAGGATAGTGTTATATCCTAGCGGAGATTAAATTATGGGTAACTTCTGAGAGCTATTAATGGACTAATATTATGCATATATTTTTATTGTATAACTATTAAGTAACTAGATTATGTATAACTATACTCCTCTTATTATAGGTTCTATTTTGATCCATAGACTATTATTATACGATTTAATATTCTCAAGTTACACGCGGTTTATTAATTACAGTCTCCCACAATCAGTCACATTTTGGCTTGATCTTGTACAATAGCTATTTTTACTTTATGGTGGGATGTGGTCTGGTTTGCTTATATGTAAACCAAGTATGTTTGAAATAAATGAATCGCATAGTGGGAGCTGATATCGGCGTTTTGAACTTAACAAGCAGGGCTAGGCAGGAAAAAGGACTAGTGAGGATGCTAGGCTGCTCATACCGATCAATACATCATTGGTTTGGCGCAGTGCTAAGATCACATAAGTCGTATTCTGATTGATGAATCAATTACGTGACAATCAGCCGGAGAAAAGTCACAACCGCGACCTGATTAAGATACCAAAGAAAGGAGATCTGAGAAAATGTTGGAACTAGAGAGGCATCACACTACTGTCGGTACTAGGGAAAGTTTTCAACAGAATGTCGCTGAACTAGATGAAAGATCCGGTAAACGGCCAAATTCAAGATCAACAGACCAGATTCCGTAAGGACCGTTCAAGCACTGATCAGATAGTGACACTATAGATCATCGCTGAACAATTAATTGAATGCAACTCGTCACTATACATCAACTTCACTGACTATGAGGTGTTCGACTGTGTGGATAGGAGAACCTTATGGAACCTTCTTCGACACTATGGTGTACCTGAGAAAACCATCAACATCATAGAGAGTTCATACGAAAGACTACACTGTAAAGTCGTGTATGGAGGATAGTTGACAGATGTATTAGACAAGGCTGCTTACCTCACTGTGGGAGAGAACAAACCAACTTCCAAATGAAGAGAAAATTAGGGAAATTCGCTGGAGTTTGATAGAACATACATTGTGGAAATCATCAGACTGCATCACGAGGCAAGCGCTAACTTGGTATCCTGAGGATAAACAGAAAAGAGGGAGGCCAAAGAACTGATTGTGCCGAGAGTCGGATGCACACATCAAAAGGATGGATAACAATTGGAAACAACTGGAAAGGATTGCCCAGGACAAAGTCCGATGTAGAATGCTGGTAGGTGGCCCATGCTCCTCCACGAGGGTTGACAGGCGTAAGTAAATAAGCAACGCTATGACCCCAATACTTAATATGACATCCGTTTATTAAGTGAAGGAAACTAAAGTAAAAAATCACAGAAACATGTACCTAGTATCCAAATCAGAGTTCAAAACACCAAAGTGTTGAGTAGTGTATTACAGGATATTTACACTAAGAAATCACAAACATACTTCATCTCCTTTTGCGCCTCGACTAGACGCTTCGTTTCTGCGTCATCTTTTTTTCGCTGAACAGCCAACTCTACGGAATTCCCATCTTGAAATTGTTCCCCGATTCCCAGGGCCTCTTTGAAAATTGTGTTTTTAAGGATATTTACAGCAGCATTTTCATGGGTCCCTTTTGGTAGCAATTTACCGTGTTCAGACTGAGAGATTTCGAATGGCTCCACATTGGGAGTCTTTTTTATTTCGGAGGCCTTTAACTCATCCAGCAACTTTTTGCGAAACCCATTGACCCTAAATTCGATTTCGCTCTGCGTGTAACTAAAAAGGAAATGATTACGAAAGAAACCTACCCTTGTTCCTCCATTTCTTGTTCCATCTCAAAACATTTCACTTCAATTTTTCGTTTCCGTTCATGCTCTAGTATTTCTTTATTTGGTTCCTTGAACAGCAGAGCATCTGCTCTCTTGATGTCTTCCTCTGTTTTGTAAGGGTTTTGCTCTTTGAAATTACTAATGAAGGCCAAATTCTTCTGAACATATCCATTCGTCCCACTGCCTCGAGGAGTTGGTAAACCTATCCCATTATACATTGTAATTGGAGTACGTTGTGCTAAAGGGAACTAATGCAAGTGTCAGTTCCACGGTGGAAGTTTAACCTTTCACCACGAAAAGCGAGACAGAAAGCAGAAGAAAATGTGGACAGGCTCATTAAATATATAAGACCCATAAAAAATAAGCCATGAAGGCAATCACATAGTGTACAATGAAAAAACCTTGGTGTGAACTTCAACAATCACATCGAGATGTTACAAGTGAAACCTTAGATAGGTCGCATAGCTCCCTCTAATTTTGCATGCATTCGAAGTGTGTCAATTTTAAAACCAATGTGTGGTTAGTGAATCATATAAATTGCTCTACAGGGAAGCTAGACCCCTCTTTTGACTCCAGTATTGTTGCCCAGTTCGTAAACTCCCGTCCGATTTATTGGTACCCATGGAATGTGAGTAAAAACCAGCAGGGAAAAAGTATATGGGTGAACCAATCAGATTTCGACGAGCAGCTATCGTTGCATCATAGCTGATGTCATCTCGCGATAAAAGCCTTAATCACTAATGTATGGGAATAAGTTGTTCATATAAAAACTGCTTATCAATTCTAACCGCACTTCTTTACCATAAACCGTTTCAAAACGAAAGTTTCCAACGGCTAAAACGCACGACTAACTAACCAAAGGTTATTCATTTACTTAATTTTCACGGGAAAATTTAGATTTAAAAATGAGAGCCTACCTGAAAGTGACCTAAACAAACGGACGGAATATACTCACTTAGATTAATTGAAGCCAACGGCAGAAACCACAGTGACAAGTAAGCGACGTTGTAACTAAACTAAAATAACGCGCGCACACCAAACAATTGATACAAACTCAACTTTCTACTGCCAATAAGCTGAAGTTATCCGACCTACTGGTCAGGTTTGTGTAGTAATATGGTATGTGTGCCACATTCTTTTTCCTTACAAGCGATGATGAATACCGTCTGTTGCAGCGTTCTGTTTTAAATAATTTACAGCTTCATGGCAATTATTGGTGTTTTATCTGACCTAAATATTTTTATCTAGGGTACATTCTTATTATAAGTGTTATTTTGTGGAAAAACATTAAACTCATTCTGGACTCCGGCAGGTCTGATGCGTTGTATATCTTCAAACTCTAGTTATCATAAAGGCATAACAAATTGTTTCACAGGTTATATGTTGTAGTTTGGGCTCTAGAAACCTCAGTATTTGAGGTTTGCTATGAAGTTTATCGTCAATATCCTAGACAGCTTTTGGTATTTCCCAATATACAAATTAAGTTGGTTTGCTTGCAATCTTGAAGAGACTGATGTATCCTAGTGGATTCGATCTCGAGTCGCCTGGCTTCTTAAACATAGACAATATCACTGGGCTTTCTGGGCCGCGACTAAACTACTACTGGACTGAGATACACACACAACTGACTGATCACTATGTAGCAATCTGTGTTACGTTTGTCAAGTCCTGCCTCAGAGCTGATTGAATCCTGTCGATCAAGTTCGAGTGCTGACACTAGTCTAATGAACTCCACATCACATAATTACGGGTAACCCTTTCTAGTGAGTGACAGTTGACATGGAGTCTAGGTTCATGGTGATGATGTCACAGGTATTCAGTGTTTGACAACGCCTCTACCAGTAACACCTTCTAATATATTTCGTTCCCGCCCAGAGAAATCAAAAGACAGAGTCGAGGAGATCGGAAGAGTATATTTGGCGATGACCAATACATCGGAATTCTCTGATCTAATCTGGCTAGCGATTGCGGTTGATGTTGAGCACGGCGTTACCACACGTGATCTGGTGCGGATGCCTGACCGAGCGCCTTCAGCTAGGTGAGTCCACTAAAACATATGGTCAGCATCCAATGTCGAAAACTTAGTGCTATTTATTTTGGGGATTTATTTACCGCTACAGATCACTCCCCCCTAGTGGGGCAGTGACGACCCTAAGACGTGGCCAGCCAGAAGTTTAAACCCAACGAGTTTGTCGTTGGTAAACACTCTTCTGATAGCTTACTAAATTTAGCAGCGTCTGGTCGTCTTTCCTTACTATGTGGGACGGAGGTACAACATAGTAAAAAAAGAAAATGTACATGGAAAATTTCGGATCCTCATAAACGTCATCGTTCTTTTCCAGCCGTCCTGGAAAAGAAAAAAGAAAATGTAAGTGCATGTCGAAATACACTCGTATGTGCGTAAAAGCACAATGTCGGCGGAAAAAAAATGGAAAATAAACTCATAAACATGTAATAGCGTTAAAAAAATTGTTTTTTTGTTTTTTTTTTTAAATAGAAATAAAAATATATAAGCATATTAAAATTGTTTTTTTTTTAAAAATAATATAAAATGTCGAGAAGTGCCTTACGTGCAATAGTCGTTTAGATGTTCTGGAAATCTCACCCTTCTTCCAGAACGCGTCGTTTTAAGTTTATTTTCGGATACTGTCGAAGTATCATCGTGTGTGTTGGTTGTCGGATGAGGTATTATAAGTGTCGGAGTCGTGTCGTTCGATTGTACCGAAGGAAAATCCACGTAGATAGGATTTCCTTCTAAATACGCTGCTTTTAAGCGATCGATACTGATGCTATCGTTGGTTCCGTTCTTATCGACTATATAGTACTTAGATTCACGTTGAAGAACTTTGAAGGGTCCTTCGTATGCTGATTCGAAGGGTCGTCGATGCGAGTCTCGACGAACAAAAACGTGTGTACTATATCGTAAGTCAGGTTGAACGAAAACATCAGTTGATTGAGGTCGAGTGGAACCAGGTTTAACTGAACGCATTGCGTTTGTAAGCCTGTTCGTGTAGGAGGTTAGATCCATGTTCATTGAAAAGGATGAAGGATCCACGAATTCTCCTGGAAGCCGAAGTGTCGTACCATAAACGAGTTGAGACGCAGTGTATCCAATGTCAGCTTTCACTGCATTGCGGATACCTAGTAAGACGAGTGGAAGAGCGTCGGTCCACTGTGAAACGTTTGTAGCTGATAGCGAAGCTTTCAGTTGTCGGTGAAAACGTTCTACCAACCCGTTTGCTTGTGGATGGTAGGCGGTCGTTCGGAAGCGAGTGATTCCTAAAAGCGTGGTCAGACGACGGAAAAGATCGGATTCAAACTGACGTCCGCGGTCTGTAGTAATGGTTGAAGGGCAGCCGAAGTTTGCTACCCATCGTTCGACGAAGGTGCGAGCCACTGTTTCAGCAGTGATGTCCTTGATAGGTACTGCTTCTGGCCATCGAGTGAAACGGTCTACGCAGGTTAAGAGATAAGAGTATCCATTTGAATCCGGTAAAGGTCCTACCAAATCCAGATGAACATGGTCGAAACGAGCATCGGGAGTTTTAAACGAGCCTAAGGGACATTTATTGTGTCTGATAACCTTAGATTTTTGGCAGCTTACACAGGAGCGTGCCCACTCCCTCACGTCTTTATTCATTCCAGGCCAGCAAAACCGTTCTGCTATAAGCTTGATGGTTGCACGAACACCTGGATGCGAAAGTTTGTGCAATGTGTTGAAGACATTGCGTCGATAATGTTTCGGCACGATTGGGCGATCCCTACCTGTAGATGTGTCACAAAGTAAGGTTTTCTTACCTGTTCCCATCTGTTTGGTGCGTAGTTTAAGTGTTTTGGACGATAACTCGTGCTGAAGATCAGTGTCTTCTTTTTGAAGCTCGACGAGTTTAAGAAGGTCGATTCCTTGGAAACTGTTCAAGGAAGTTATGCGAGATAAAGCGTCTGCAACTACATTGTTTGCTCCAGAGATGTGTTGAATATCTGAAGTAAACTGCGAAATGTAGTCCAATTGTCGAGACTCACGGGGAGAGTACTTGTCTGAAGGAGAGCTTAACGAGAAAGTGAGCGGTTTATGGTCCGTGAAAAGAGTGAATTCACGACCTTCGATGTAGTGTTGGAAATGCCGTACAGCACAATACATAGCTAGGAGTTCCCTACCGAATGTGCTGTACCTCGATTCGGTGTCTAGCAACCTTCTTGAGAAAAATGCCAAGGGTTGCCAGGAGTTGTTAACCCATTGTTGTAAGACTCCTCCGATTGCCGAGTCGGATGCGTCTACTGCGATGCTAATGGGTGCTCGGGTGTCCTGATGTGCGAGCATCGTTGCTTTAGCAATCAGTTCCTTAACTGTGGAGAATGCTTTTCGTGCGGTGTCGTCCAAATTAATGGATTTCGCATTTCCACGAAGTTGGTCGGTCAGAGGTTTCATAAGTAATGCGCATTTCGGTATGAAACGTCTATAGAAACTTACCAGGCCGTTAAACGTGCGTAATTGCTTGACGGTGGTCGGTTCTGGGTAATCCAGAATGGCCGCCACTTTGGTCCTAAGAGGTCGAATGCCTTGAGCATCGATAGTGTGTCCTAGGAAGTCTAACGAGTCGGTTCCGAATTGGCATTTCTGAACGTTTACAGTTATGCCATGTTTTTGAAGTCGTTCGAAAACAAGATCCAGATGCTTGAGATGTGTTTCTCTGTCCGGACTTGCGATTAGACAGTCGTCAACATACGCGTGTACGAAGTTGAGACCTCGAAAAACGTCGTCTATGAATCTTTGGAATGTTTGAGCAGCATTCCTTAGACCGAAAGGCATTCGCAAAAATTCATAGAGTCCGAAGGGAGTTATGATAGCCGTTTTCGGTATGTCGTCAGTAGCCATAGGGATTTGGTTATACGCTTTAACCAAGTCGATTTTCGAAAAGACAGTTGTACCTTTCAAGGTAGCTGTCAAATCGTGAATGTGAGGCAACGGGTAACGATCGGGAATGGTTTTCGCGTTCAATCGCCGATAGTCACCAGTTGGACGCCAATCGTTGCTATCCTTTTTAGGGACCATGTGCAACGGAGATGCATATGGGCTACTTGACGGTCGTATGATTCCTAAGTCCATCATGTGATCGAATTCGTTTTTCGCTAACCTTAGCTTTTCAGGAGCTAGTCGTCGTGCTTTAGAGAATACAGGTGGTCCTGTAGTCGTGATGTGATGTGTAACATTGCTGGTTACACAAGGTAGTTTCGGTTGAGTTTGTTGTATCCCAGGGTACTTATCGAGTAGTGGTTGATAGAGTGGGTCTATCATATGCTTAATTGTGACTGGGGATAATCTACAACCAGAGAAGGAAGTTACGCAAACGGATAAATTAGTGTTTCCGTCTACTAGTCTCCGTTTGCGCGTATCGATGATCAGATTGTGATGTTGTAGAAGGTCCATACCAATGATTGGCATAGAAACATCTGCAACAACGAAAATCCAGTGGATGGGTTTGCGTAAACCCACGTTAAGGTAAACGTACCTTTTGCCATACGTAGCGATCGGTTTTCCGTTTGCCGCCTGTAAGTTTAGGGTCGATTCGTGAAGTCGGTCGTTAGGATTTGCTGGGAGAACGCTAACTTCTGCGCCAGTGTCGACGAGGTAACGAACTCTCGTTGTCACATCTGTGACGAATAACAGACGGCTTTGTTCGCCGGCTACGGTTGCCGTTAACGCGTGCCGGCTTGGAAGTTCCCCAAGTTGTTTTTCGAGTCACTCGGTTTCGTGTTGGGAAAATTGCAGGGTTTTCTGCAATTTCTGGAAAACTTTCCATACTGGTTATGATACCAGCACCAGTCGGGGTTATCTGTCTCTCGTGGTCTAGAGACAGATCGCTTACGTGAAATGCTTCTACGTGGTGTCCGCGATCTCTTACGGTCGGTACGAAGACTAAGATAACTCGTGAGTGTGTGACATAAGTCGGTTAAATCATTCTGAGTCGTGTGAGGTTTTTCTTTGACTGAAAATACCTCGGTTGTAGGTTTCGTAATTTCTAGAATGCGGTCGGCAGATGCAGCTAGCTCGTCTAAGGCGTTGTTCTGGAACGAGACCAGAACTGCTTGCACCTGTTGGGGAAGTTTTGACAAGAAGAGTTGTTTGAATAGACCTTCGTCGAAAGTTCTTGGTCCTATTATCTCTCTCATCCGTTGCAACATGTCCGT